TTAATTTCAATGTATGTTGTTTCAAAAAAACTTGTGTTATGCCGTGAATATTCATTTGCATATCTTGAATGACTGCATTGTGCTTCTGTCTCCTTTCCGTTTGAATCCACTTCAAGATTGCTACCTTCATTTTATATAAAACAAACCAGAATATGTGGTAAAATAGTATTTGTAAAACAAACTATGCAGTTATTGTCGTTATTATATTTCGTGACTTTGTGCAGACAAAATACTATTCTTACTTTCCAGTTGAGGCTAGATCTCGAACGTTATATTCATCGTACAGGGGAACCGCATGTTTACGAACTTACTGGTGTTGTTCAACATATGGGTAATGCAGCAGAACATGGTCATTACATTGCTGTTGTACGAGGTTTTGATGGTAGAAATTATTATATGTTCGATGACGAGCAGGCATGTAGTGTATAAGTATTGTTTCTTGTAATTCGCATAAAATTTCAGAAAGTATGTAAAGGAGGCTTACAACATTTACCATAAATCACTTTCCTAATTTGGCTCTTAGTGTTTAATAATAGCATGTATATATTTGTTTTGGGATACTAAGCAAAAAAAAAAGAGTATGAGCAATTTATCTAATGTGTGTTCTGATATGTTTAGTTTTGTAGATTTTAAAACTTCAGTATTTTTGCAATTAGTGATCTTAAATTAGAATGACAATCACTCCGATGGACGTTTTTTTTTGTCACCGTGACAAATGATTTTAAACACTTGCTTTTCCAGTGTCACAGAGTTTCTCTGTCTGAACTGCACAATACACAGGCGTACATGCTATTGTACATTCGCTGTGATGCATTCAGGAATTCCGTTTCATCTTCGGTAGCATTGAGTGTTACAATTGAAACACAGAAGGATGCACCTACCAGGAATCGAGTAATGAAGCGTCCATATATACAAATATCTTAAGTGGGATACTTAAGTGTTTGTATTTGCAAATATTCATTGATCAATGAATGGTCTGATAAAGTCTTTTTCTTTTTAAATTTATTTTTTAAGAATTATTGTTTTTTCTAAGGAAACAATTGAAGGGGAAAAAATCAGAAAGTAGTTGTAAACTAGAATATCCGCGGATAACTTTGGGAGTTGTTGTAAAGATGATGTAATGAGAGTGATAGCTGATTAATATTAACTACACGGTTTCGGATTGAATTTTTTTTTATGATTTTTAATAATATGGATTTTTATAAGTGCTGGAAAGCAAGATCCTAAAAGTATTGGGCAGTTGAACTGTTCCTTTTTTTTTTGAAAAGCAAGATCCATTTTTTGGTGATGTTATTTTATTGTATTAGTTATGTTAAAATACTAATATTGATGGAAATAGAGTTGTTCTTTAACTGTAATCTTGTAAATATTTACTGATCATTGCTAATTAATCACTACGTAAGGTTTATGGCAGGTTTTGTTGTCTGTTTCTTTTTTCTTACGGATCATTCGCCCCTTGTTTGTTCAGTTTGTGCACTGCCTTTAGAATTACTTGAAATATTTCTCATATTTAAGCAGCATTTTCTCGATTTTTCTGTCTTCTATAAATTTTTGTTACAGTGGGGTTACATTTATGATCCTTGTGATCTGTTTTATACTGGATTTCATTTGTTTTGACATCTACTTTGTTAGAGATCTCGTTAATTCATCATCATATACTTCTGGTGACAATAAAATGATTCGTGATTCTTTTCCTGTTTTTTTTATTTTTGGATAAAATAAAGCTCTGGGTTCTTATGCAAATATTTCTAATGGGGAAAAAATGAATATAACTAGAATATATTGAACAGTTCTTTGTTTTAGCATGACCATCAACTTCATTTAAAGTGTTACAAGTCTGCAATCTTCACTTTTCAAAGTGTGTTAATAAAAATGGAAATGCTTCTCGAAAATGTTATACATTATTTAATCTCTCAGATCTCTTCTAGTTGTGGGAAGTCTATCTTTCGGAAATTCAGAAGTTCATTTTTCCAATATTTATGCTTAATGTCATTTCTTACATTTCCACATAAAAGATGTAAAAAAAGTTTCTGATTTTAAATAAAGTTTTGAGTGTTTGAATGTCACTTATTTCGGAGTGGAGAAAGTGCTTGAAAATGCAGGGAAATTGCACATTTGTTTGATGAAATGCAATGTTAAGAAATGAAGGGCGATGGAATATCTCTGGATTTCTAAATTTTACGGTTTTGCTTTATGGCGACTCTTTTCTGTGTTGGTTGCATATTCATTTTATCATCGTAGGGTAACTTGTCTGTTCTAGTACCAGTGAATTTTATCTTAAATCGTTCCATATATTTCTTTTCCTTCATACTGTAGCAATCTGAATCTTTTGAATTTAGTAGTTAGTACTTCATTGATAAATGGATTTTCCAAATCGTTAACATCCCTCTGGAAGAATTGATAGATTCAGCATTTGTATCCAACATTGACGTCTAATAATTTAGCAGTCTTCGTGATTTTGGATATCATTCTGAAACTGTTTCTCAGATGTTTCTCAGAAACTCCTAAAATTTGAAGTTATTGTGTCGTATTTATCAACGAAAACAAATTGCCTCGGATTGTGTCATTTTACTTCATTATTTTTTGCTTGTTTTTCTTTTCTTATATATTTGTTTCCTGTAAGAATTGTTTTAGTATAAAGCGATATTTCGGAATTTTCATAGATTTTTGCATGTTTACAGACTTGGAATTTTCTTAGCTACTAAAAGAGTGTAATTGTGCAACATGACTATGAAGCATTTTATTTTATGTCGAAAATGTATTCCTAATCCAATGTGTGTTTACATTGAGAATTTCGAAAATATTTGCCACCTTCAAGTATGCGGTAGTTTCTTTTTAGAGGACGCTTCAAAGATGATGTTTGAAGCAATCACTTCAAAGCGTTTGCTTGTGTTGTTTAAGATAATGGATTATTTTGTTACGAATGAAAGTTAAGCTGTGAACATATCACGAAGAAGACACATTGACCAGTTGATGATATTGCTGTTCAGCTTCTTTTGGTTTTTATTTGGCACATTCAGGACAGCAATCTTTTCAGGTTCTTGCTTGATAATATGGGCGGTACTGAAAGACAGTATTGAGTTGTTATAAGATTGGCTGGATGAACTGGGTGGTACGAATATGAAATTTAGTAAATATAAAAATTTTGCACTATTAGCAATGCTAATATTAAAACTGAATATCTTTTGGAAACCTTGAAATTGCATAGTCCATTGGAGATTCGGAGATGTTTTAATGAGTAAATAATTTAGCTTTATGATAAAATAAGTTGTGATAAAAGCCAGTTTACACAATATCTTTTGTTATTGTTGCAGCAGAAAATGATATTTGATTGGATGAAGTGATGTCTATTTTTTTTTCTCTTTTGAATTTCTCTTTCCAAGAAATTTTCTGTCTACAAATTTGTTGAGGAGATCTCATGTTCCAGCGACTGAGAAAAAATTTGATCCGAATACGCGGTTTGATTAGAAAGTGAGGCGAGAAGGGTATATCGAGAAAATTGTAATTCGCTACTTTTTCTCTTAAATTTTTAAAAGTATCATGATTTCATAAACTCTTAGTAAGGTTATTTTTTTTATTTTAAGATTTGTTCAAAAATGAACTGCGTATACATATGCATTTTTTATTTTTTGGGCTTAGTTATTATTTGGAGAGATAAAGGGACTTTGTTTTAGGAAAATCGCGAATAATTCTAAAATAACACGATTAGTTGACCTTAACCAAGATTTATGCGCATGAAAACTTGTTACATGATTTGGTGAATTTATTAGTTGTATCTATTTCTAACCTGTTTCATTTGTTTAATTACTTTTTCGTCAAAACTAATTAAATGATTTAATAAACTTAACAGGGCATTATCCAACTAGTACTATTACCGATCAAAGAAAAGAAATGGTCTGTTCATTTTGTGATAATGAAAACATTTCCGAAAAATGTTCAAATAATCCACTTCTACTCTGTGAATGAAACGAATATGGGAGTTAGGTAAATATTATAAACTAAAGTAATAGATGCTATGACAAGATGGAATGATTTAATTTTTCTCTTTGAATTGATATGATTATCTTACAGAACGATCAAACAAATCAACTTGTTCAATGTTATTTTATTTTATGCATTTTTTTTAAGAAAAAATTAAAGAGAATTAACAATTTCAGAAATTTATAAATCCTAGAAGCGAAGGAAATCAAACGCATTACAACATTTAGAGAAAGAGAGAGAAAAAAGGAAAAAAAAGGGAATAATGGGATTAGATTTAAGAGATATTTATTAATAAAACAAATTAAATTTTAAGCTTCCATCATTTTAGTTATCCAAAAATTTTCAAAATTTAAAAGACGAATTTAAAACGGCAGTTAACCTTAATCTTATCTAATAATTTATGTGAACGACAGTAATTAAATGAAGAAATAACAATTGCAAATAACAAATATCCGAAATGAGAAATGGTTTTTATCTTTTCTTTATTTTTCCTATGCATATTATTATTTTTCCTTTTTTCTATTCTGTTTTTCTTTCATTTTTAATCATTCTCGCTGTCAACTGGGAATTTTTTGGCGCAAACTTATGTCAAAGGAACATTTAAACAATTTAGAAAGATAGTTAGCACATTCAACTAAAAATCAAATTAATAAACAAAAAGAGAATTTGGTAATATATATAATAAATATACTTTATAATTAAATTTTTCTTGCTGTATATTTAAAAATAGAAAGACTACAATTTTATTTTGAACAAAATGGTTATATTCTCTGGAACAAATTCATTTAAATGAAACCAATGAAACAATGTTTTACTTTATTACTGACAAAATTTAAAATTAATTATTTAGTATTGAAACACTTGGAATAGTAACAGCTATTTTTTTTTCCTTGAATATTTTTTGAAACACAAAAAAAAAGTTAATGAGGCGGGTGCTTTTCTCACTGTTTTCTTGTTTTTGTTGTTAGCATGGCAGAAAAAAGAAAAGGAAATGAAGAAAGAGGAAGAGGGAGAGCGGGAGGGAGAGGGAGAGGGAGCGATAGCTGGAGAAAGAAAAATAAAAAAAAGCTAAAAGAAACAAATTTTGTCAGTATAAAAAGATTGGTAATATTTTCATGTTTCAACTAACTAATTTTTCAAAAAAAAAAAAATAAAATCGAAGGAGTTTCGTTTTTTGTTTTAGCTTAAAATTTTCGAAAATAGATAAAATACAGGAATGTAACTGATTGTTGAAATCTGCGCCTTGTTTCATTATGATTAACACGTGTAACGCCATATTTCCTTTCATTTGCGTCTTGCACATGTAAAAGCTATGTGCAGACAAATTAGGAGAGTACCGTTCATTTTAAGTCATTCGCTTAGGATAATAATAATATATAATTGTTTTATGTTTCTAAATTTATCACTAAAACAGAATTTACGAACAATTACAATTTTTTTTTTTTTTTTTTTTATGTGGCTTTTATTAGTAACAGCGTGCAGTGTAATTGAAAGAAATTGTTGATGAGGAAAGCACATAGTAGAGTTTTGATAAACTTTGGAAAGCTAGATGGAATTATTTAAATGAATAATATATATGATATAATGACTGATTGAAATGCTTGTAGAATGAAATTCGGATTTCAAAACAATGCCATAAATGTGTAGCTTTTTCAACTGAAGTTGTAGAAAAATTCAACTCATTGCAATATTCAAGATGATTCAGATTTTGACTTTTTTCTGCATTATTTTTCCCTTTTTTCTCTTTTCGCTTCTTTCCCTCTCTATCTCCGTTCCTTGGTTTTCTCCAGTTTTTCTTTTTCTGTACTGTATGTTTTTGAAAAGGATTTTTTTTCAAATATTTGAGTAATAAAATCAAGCAACATAAATTGTGGAATTTTTAGATAACTGGTTCTTCTTTTTAATTTTAAACAAAAAATAGTCAAAATTATTACAGCTCATTTTAACCACTTTTTAAATTAATTTAATTAATAATCGCTTCGTCTGTTGGCGGAACGATTACTAGAGAGAATAAAAAAATACCACAAAACAGCTTTTTGCATCATTGAAATGCCAAAGCAATCGAGCTAATTTTTGTTTAAAATACTTAAATAATTTGAAAAAATTTAAACAACTGAAAATCACTTCATAAATTTACTCTTCGATGTTTTTTTTTCCTTAAAATAAAATTTGCTTGAAAAAATCTAGGACTACTTTCCGATTAAAGCTTAATATTTTATCTGCAGAATTATTTCGCGAAATTTAAGAATTTATTAATAAAATAATCAGGATTGATAGTCCTTGATTCATTCAATTTTTGGCACTTAAACTTATTTAAACTGTAAAATAAAGTTTCAAAAAAAAGAACCAAATAAATAAAAAATGAAATTCGAAGTTCTTCATTTTCACATTGTTTTTTCTCCTCTTTCAACTTATTTCAGTTGAAATTGCCATAATTAAAATGTTAAAAGTCTAACCCTCACATCTCTAAATATTTATTCTTTAAATTCTCGACCAATAAGTACTTAGTATCAGCAAATTTTATAAATTTAGTTTTTCTTTTTTTCTCATTTGATGAATTTATCAATTTAATTTAACCATTTTAAAATGCAAATATTGCTAACACTTTTTTTAACGAAAAAGCAAATATCAATTTCCTTCTCATCAAAATTTTCAAAAGATGAAGAAAATGTGTCAATTTTTTTAAAATAATTCAAATATTTATTACATTATGTATATATTTTTTAATTATTAAAAAATTTTCAGCATTTTATAAATGATTTTAATGGAAAATTAAAATCGTTTCCTTCCGTTATCATCAGAAAACTAAAGTGAAAAATTCTGGAATGACAATTTTTTTTTCCTAGAATTAAAATGAAAACAAAAAAAAGAAAAGAAAAAAGGACAAACGAAGGAATGGCGGAATGTAGATTGTATTAAACATTAGCTTTGAAATGCCGAATAACAAATACCACTAGTAAAGTGCGCAATTTCTTTTTCTTTCTTTTCTTCTTTCTTTTTTTTGAATAATTGCTACAAGTTGAATTAATAGTCGTCGGACTATCAGAAATAAGAAAATATTCGAAAGCAATTGAAACATTTACAATAAATATTACATTGTCATTTCTAACCAATATAAGCATCTTGAAGGTGTTAAATTAACATTTAATTAATTTAATTTAAACAAATTAGAAAAAAAAGAAAAAAGAAAACTTAATTAATGAAATAAATAATAATATATGTATGTAATAAACATGAACATTAAAAATTATTAATTGAATTTACATGAAACTTATAATCTAAATTGGTGCAAAAATTATAATTGTCTACTGCAAATTATGATTATTACATGAATAGAAAAAAAAGTAAAAGCAAAGAATATAATCCGTTAACAGCAATATAAAAAAAAATGATAATAATATAATAACAGTAATAATAATAATAATAATAGGAGACAAATATATTTTTAGGACTACGATACTTTTTTTGAAAATAGTCAAATAACCTTTTTATTTTTTGCTTTCAATCTTTATAAGATAACTAAATTATTAAATATAATGCAGAAAAATTATTGTTGAAATTTATTTATAATTTGAAGTTCGATCTTTTTTAACATTTCTTTTATTATGCAGAAATTGGACTTTGAGATTAATAATTCAGATATTTGAAAGATTTTCATTTAATAAAATTAAAAAATAAGTTTTCCTCCTTAAACTTATTGCTGTTACACATTGATATTTTCATCTGATGGATTTTTCTAATATATATCATTATTATATTTTTATATATCATTAACAATCACATATTGCATTAAAACATAGAATTGCAGTAATCTGTAATTGAATTTTTGAAATTAGGAAAGGTCAAATATATTTCCTTAAGCAGCATACTTCACTTCTATGTTTTTGATAACCAATTCCTGCTAAAAGTCATCTTCATTATGAGGAAATTTAAAGAAAAACTAACAAAGATAATATTTAATAAAGCTAAATATTATCTTTGTTAGTTTTGTTCGTGAAAAACCAATCCACTGGACACAAAGCCACCAACTGTTGGTCCAAAAAATGATCTGAAAAGGTGGTTTGGTTCAGAAGGGATATTTTCATCATTTCGTTATCCTTCATCAAAAATATGTGGTACTATTTACCTACCCGAAGGAATAGGCAGACTGAAATAAACCTGACGTTTGTAACTATTTACCGTATCCGTATTCGCTGTAATGAAGTTTTTACACTGAAAACATTTTCGAAATTTAAATTGGAAATCGAAAGTTTTCTCAAAGCTGAAATATGCGTGTACCTAAATACACTAGAGCTACAATTGATCCAGAAAAATTCGACAATCAGAATAAATTTAAGAAACTTTGCTCCTATTTACTAATATGTTAATTTGACGATAAAACTAAGATTGATAAAGTCTTTAATTGAAATGATAATTTACTATAATGTATCAATCGATATTTGAAAAGTCGGAATATATAAAGCACTAGTAGTAAGACCAAATATATCTAATGCAACTTCTATCCATCCTAAGTTCCTGCAAGACATGAAATTGTGCTAATATGAAATAAGCGAAATCTTTCGAAAGAAAAAAAAAGATTTTATGATATATAGCATTTTCCTCAGTTCTCAGAATTATCAAGTAAAAGATATCCGAGTTAGCTTGTAATAATGACAAAATGACGTAGAAAGATATTTATTATTTGTAAATAGAATAATTACTAAATGAATATAGCAGCAATAATTTGAATAAATCGTTATTTCATGTATTATATTAGTCTTAAAATCAGAGATCTAATAGAATTGTGGTCTAATTGACTATTTGCTCTGCCGATATCTCGAACTTCAAGAAAATACATTATTTATAGTTTACACTTACTTCTCGGTATTCAGAAAAGGTGATGGACTAATGATTATCATACTAATCACTACTGCTATAATGCCAAACATTATAATTGCCTTGCTGCAGTTAAATTTATCGATAATTATGCTCCAGAAAGGTGCTGTTATCGTATAAATTTCATCAAATAGTAAGAACATTAGGCCAATAATGGATGGCTAAGTTTGAACTGTAAAATAAGTTTGGCTATCCTTTGACTATTTGAAAAGAAAGTGAAGTATCAGTTTTGCAAGTTTATACGGTTCTACTCAAAGACGTACATGAATTAGACTGATCTATGATGGATTCTTTTTTGAGGTCATTTTAAATTTTATGAGAGATCAGTAAAAACGGATAAATTATCTACTTGAAAAAGATATGACAGACAATTAGAAGAACTGAGATATTACAAAGGAAAGTAATGAATCTGTATTTGTCTTTCAACAATGCTGAAGAAATGGCCAAAAAGACATACAGATGTTTAGTGATCTGCTAAGGTTGGATCGAGAAAAGACAATGATATTGCGCACATAAGCACTGCATGAATCATAATCCATAATAGTGGTGTCTTCAACATACCTAACATGCTTTACCGTCCATTACTTTGATCATTCTATGAAATATGATGGCTCTATCTAATCTATTATGGAATACATTCATTCAATTTTAATTTATTTAACTAATAAATATCATCAACAAAAATGATAATTTGATTTCATTAATAAATTTTAATTGAATGATAGCAAAAAAAAAAAAAAAAAAAAAATTACACCATCCATATTTTCGACCAAAAAATTTGCTAGTAATCCAAGAAAGAATAAAATAATTCCTAACACAATGAATGGCAACTTGAAACCCAATTTCATATAGTACACCACCAAGTAAAGGTCCTGCGGTACTGCCAAGACTGACGAATGTTTCCAGCACACCCTAAAAATTAAGTGAAAATTTCACCATTTTATATGTCTGAGTATCATACATCCACGAAGTGTGAATAATGAACGGATCTTTAGTTAGAAATTGAGTGTGTGGTGCTTCTATAGGGAGAGTAATGATGTTAGTTTGATTTGAATTTCGTTTTGAAGTATTACAAAGGAGAGATTGAACTAATTTAAATTTCCATTTAATAATAACTAAAATAGTTAAAAATTTCACGATAATTATACAGATAAAAATCAATTTCCAATTTGTTATCACGTTTTCAAATTCTTCTTCTATCGGCAGAATAATTTCATTGAATTCCCTTTCCATTTGTTTGATAATTTCTTCTCCTTCTCAGAGATTTCTTGCCAAAAGAGTCATCCTTCATTTGATGTGGTATTGAATTAATTGTTTTTTGGTTTGAGTTAGGATTTCCAATTCTGCATTAATTCTCTCAATTTCAAACTTACTTATTAAATCTCCTTTGAATTCGATATTTTCGATTGTTGATTGTTCTGATTTGCAAGGAGCCACCATCAAATTTCCGTTAATTCTTTTAGCTATCACATCGTTTCTTTGAAGTATTAGTTTCGTGGCAAGGGTAGGATAGCACAATGAATGGCAACTTGAAACCCAATTCATACAGTACACCACCAAATAAAGGTCCTGCGGTACTGCCAAGACTGACGAATGTTTCCAGCACACCCTAAAAATTAAGTGAAAATTTCACCATTTTATATGTCTGAGTATCATACATCCACGAAGTGTGAATAACGAACGGTCTGACCATCATGCATGTATGAATTGTTATTCACGATTGCATGTGTCTGAGTATCATACACATGAATTGTTAACCACGATTGTATATGTCTGAGCATCATGCATACATGAATTGTAAATCACCATTGTACATGTCTGAGTATCATACATCCACGAAGTGTGAATAACGGTCTATGTATCACACATCCATGATTTGTTAATCACGATTGCATATGTTTGAGTATCAAAAATCCATGAAATGTGAATCACGATTGCATATGTTGAGTATCATAAATCCATGAAATGTGAATCACGATTGTATATGTCTGAGTATCATAAATCCATGAAATGTGAATCACGATTGTATATGTCTGAGTATCATAAATCCATGAAATGTGAATCACGATTGTATATGTCTGAGTATCATAAATCCATGAAATGTGAATCACGATTGTATATGTCTGAGTATCATAAATCCATGAAATGTGAATCACGATTGTATATGTCTGAGTATCATAAATCCATGAAATGTGAATCACGATTGTATATGTCTGAGTATCATATATACATGAATTGTTAATCATGATTATATATGTCTGAGAATTATACATCCATGTATTATGAATCACGATTATAAACGCCTGAGAATCATGCATCCATGAATTGTGAATAACGATTGTATATATCTGAGTATCATACATACATGAATTGTGATTGTATATGTCCGAGTATCATGCATCCATGATTTGTGAATAACGGTCTGAGTATCATATATACATGAATTGCTAATCATGATTGTATATATCTGAGTATCATGCATGTTGTGAAAGATTTGTCTGGTTGATATTCGAATAGTTGCAATACAGTAGATAGATTAATAAACCTTTATTTTTGAAAACGTAGTAATAATAAACCGAGCTGAGCAATAAAAAGAGAAAAGAAATTTATAATAAAGATGATCGGAAGAATTGAATTCGGTTAATAGAGTAGTAATCGACAATAATGACAATGCATTCTTTTTGTATATTAGAATTGAATTTATATGAGTGAGGATTGGGCGTGTCTAAGATAAAAATCATATGTGTGAAGAATTCGATGTAAAATGAAAGCTAACTTCAATTTTACATAAAAGTCATATGTGTGAAGAATTGGAAGTGTTTACAACGAAGAGATTAAAATGAAAGCTAATTTCAATTTTACAGAAAAAATTACATGCATGAAGAATTGGAGGTGTTCATGTGTGAATACCGTAGGATTGTTCACAATTAAAAAAAAGGAGAGATGATTTATGATACTATGAAATTGGTTAGAAGTTTTCGCGAAATTATAATTCGCGACACTCCCAAAGGGGGTGAGAAATTATTTTTTAAGATGTAATTTGAGAGATTGATTTGAGCTAAATGTATGGAGTTTAATGGATGGGATTTCATTCTCTCTTAGTTAGGAATTGAGTATGTGGTGATTCTATATGGAGAGCAATGATATAGCTTGATTTGAACTTCGTTTTGGAGTATTACAGAAAAAGGATTGAACTAATTAAATTTCCATTTAAGAATAATTAAAATAGTTAATATCGTCACGATAATTATACAAACAGAAATCAATTTCAATGTGTTATCACGTTTTCAAATTCTTCTTCTATCGGTAGAACAATTTCGTTGAATTTCCTTTCCATTTGTTCGATAATTTCTTCTCCTTCTTCAGAAATTTTTATTAAATCTCCTTTGAATACGATGTTTTCGATTGTCGGTCGTTCTGATTTACAAGGAGCCACCATCAAATTCTCGTTAATCCTTTTAGCTATCACATCGTTTCTTTGAAGTATTAGTTTCGCCTTTCCATCGTATAGAAGAATTTCTCATTGGGTTAATATGAAGTTTGATGTTGATTAACAGTTGACTTCTAACCATTCATAGGAGTATTGTATTTCTTTATTCATTATCCATTGATTAGGAGAAGATTGAATTAGTCCAATTCCATTCATTTGTTTTCGAACATTTAAATATCTGTTACATCGGCTGTAGTTTGCAAATTTTAGCACTTCTTGTTCGTCGAGCAATGGGTTCTTCCGGTTTATCTTCCACCTTTTCTTCTTTATCTTCAGTAGCATCTATTTCCATAGGATAAAGCATATTTATTGATCGATCGATTTGTTTTCGATTGTCGGTCATTCTGATTTGCAAGGAGCCACCATCAAATTTCTGTTAATTCTTTTAGCTATCACATCGTTTCTTTGAAGTATTAGTTTCGTGGCAAGGGTAGGATTGCTGATTGACAACCATTTGATTAACAGTAATAAGTTATTCCTGTTTTGGCAACTTCTTTGCTGTGTTTCTTTGAGTTGTTGAATGAATTCTTGTCTTAATGAATCGAAGAGGTATTGAAGCTTTACGTTTTCAGGATCGAACCTTTTATCAGGAGACTTTCCATCAACAATAGTTTATTGTTACTTTTCATTTGAATGTTGTAGTAGAGTTTGAGTCATCTTCAACATCTACTTCAATAACTATATCGCCTTGCATTAAAAGTGGAGAGGTGAATCTACAATTTTGGTGTTTAATATAGGGGTTTTCATTAATTATAAGCGATGCCTGTAGCTCGTCGATGATGAAGTGTTTGTTATACTTTGTAGCTTTGAATCTTTTGATCTTTCGATACAGACAATGATTGGTTGTATCGTTGCCAGTATTTGTTATACATTCCCCGTGTCAAACAATCCTTTATATCGTCAAGTTAGAGACTAACCCTCTTCCATCGTATAGGAGAATTTCTCATTGGTTAATATGAAGTTTGATGTTGATTAACAGTTGACTTCTAACCATTCATAGGAGTATTGTATTTCTTTATTCATTATCCATTGATTAGGAGAAGATTGAATTAGTCCAATTCCATTCATTTGTTTTCGAACATTTAAATATCTGCAGAATTGTGAGGAAGTTGCAGTAGTAGACGTATGATCTGATACTACCGATAGTGATATTCTAAGAAAAGCTTTCGTGCATACAGTCCGTGTAATGTTGCTACATTTATAGCTGGTATACTTACATGCGTGTGTGTGTGTACAATCCACTTTGTGATATGTAGGATTTTTTTGTTAATAATTTCTTCACAATTCCATTTTTCAGGAATATTAAAAGGGCACTCCAGTAATTCAATTACAGCTGTTGTTTGCTAATACTTGTCGTGTTACTAACAATATCATTGTTATTAATGATAGAGTATTTATCAAAAGATTAGACTTGTCTTTTGCATCGACTGTAGTTTATGATTTTTTAGCACTTCTGATTCGTCGAGCAATAGGTTCTTCCACTTTTTCTTCTTTATCTTCAGTAGCATCTATTTCCATAGGATAAAGCATATTTATTGATCGATCGATTTGTTTTCCATTCGGTAATTGTATTGTTGCACTCCTTATTTTTCCATCCCATCCTCGATTAATTTTTATTATCCTTGCCAATTTCCATACACCACGAGGTATTTCTGGTTCATTTAGTAATACTATCTCATTTTCATGTGGTACTCTTTTTTCTACTATTCTAGGTGATTTTAATTCTCTCTGTGTGCGTTCTCTAAGACTTGTAAGATATTCTTCTTTCCACAACTTCCAAAAGACATCTAATGTGGTAAGAGTGGTGGTCCAATACTTGACTAATTTATCTTTAGTCTTTATTGTATAAGGGGTATATTCATCTTGATCACTATCATAATTTATTGGTAGATCTAATGAAGCCATAGGTGATATAAAATCAATTGGACGAATGATTCTGTAGTCGTCAAACCCTACATAAGTTAATGGACGGGTATTAAGGATTCCTTCTATTTCAGCTATTAATGTTATTAATTCTCCTTCCTTTAGAAGTTTTCTTCCTATTGCTTTTCTTAATGCCTTTTTTGTGAGTCCTATAAGTCTTTCATATACATCACCCCCCCATGGTGCTCTTGGTATAGTATTTTTCTATATCATACCTTTTGTCGCCAAAAAATTAGCGTTTTCTTCCATAATAGTTTTGAATACCAGTTGAAATTGGCTAGCATTATCGCTTAATATTAATTTTGGATATCCACGTCGAGCGATAAATCTTCTTAAAACATGTGAAAAATTCTCGGCAGATAAATTCTCCGCCATTTCTAGATGCACTGCTCTGATAGTGAAGCACGTAAAAAGTGCTATCCATCTTTTGACTAGACCAGTATTAGATTTGACTGAAAGAGGACCCATATAATCAAGGCCGACTTGTTCGAAGGTCCTGGATCGTTTTACTCGTGTTTCTGGTAAACTTGGCATCGCTGGCAGTTTAAACGGTTTAGCTTTCCAGCGAATGCAATAACAGCATAGGTTTATAATTCGTTTTACAGCAGCTCTTCCTTTCGGTATCCAATATTTTCGTCTTAATTCAGATAACGTATGTGCAATACCTGCGTGATATAATTCATTATGCTTGTGTAAAATAATAAGATCAGTAATATAATTATGATCCGGTTAATATATGGGATATTTTCTTTCGTCCATTAATTCTGAATTTTCCAGTCGGCTCCTTAATTTCCATAAGTTATCACTTTCATCTAGATATAGATTCTATTTTTCCTTTTCGTCCTCCGTTAACAATCGTGATTGGGCCTGTCTGATCAGCATAGTCTCTACTATATCGTAATCAACTTTAGTCATATATTTCTTTTTTACGGATAATGGTTCTAGCTACACTAATTTCTTTTTGCAGGTTTGTTTAATAAATCTAAAAGTCCAAACAGTTACTCGAACTAGTTTTGTCCAACTGCTGAAGCGACATACGTCAATAAATTCAATTGTATTCCTTTTAAAAGTTTGAGTCATCTTTGTCAAATTCAAAGCAATTGCTTCTACAAATTCATCATTTCCTGAATAGCGAAGTTTGCACTTTGGCCATTCAGATTTCTTGAGTTCCAACCATCGAGGTCCTTTCCACCATTGTTTACAATTTTGGAGTTTAAATGATGATACTCCTTTAGTGGCTATATCTGCTGGATTTTGATCACTTGGTATGTATTTTAAAATTATGAGAATGAAAGAAAAAATTCCTATTATATTTCAGAATCTCAAATAAATACTAATCTTAAAATACTAAAAAATATTAAAAAAATAAAATACTAAAGTAAATTGAGAAATCATTTATTACATTACGTGTTATAATTTACTCCCTCAAATTTTTGTTAGATTCTTTCTTAAAAGAAAATTTATTTTTCCACTTCTTAAAAGAAATTAAAATCGATTAATTTTTTGTTTCAAAAAGTACTTCCATATCCAATCCGCATATTTTTACTAAAACTATTGTATTATTATAATAAATAATTTTAATGAAACGAAATGAATTAGTTTATTCTTTAGTGTTATGAACTTTCAAAAAGTGGTTTTAATAAAAAATTACCACTTCATTTTCCCTAATGTGTAAATTACTTATAATCAAATGTTTTTAAGTTATAATTGTGAATGTAAATTATGACAAAAGAATAAATTATTTTTAATTAATATACTCAATGCAATTTAAATATACTTAAATTATCGAATATGCTAATGGGTGCTTGAGCAATCAATCACCAACTATTCGCTAACTTCTATAAGAAGTTTGTGAAAAATCCCTACCATAGTAAATATACGGTGCAATGGCCAGTAAGTCTTTCCCAAATAAATCTCGCTCGATCCACACTTAGATATTCCAATACTTTCAAAATTGAATACGGTAAACCTTTCTTTAAGCTTTTTTCTAATTCCATTTCCACCGACAATACTGCAAAAAGAAATTTCATTTTCTATAAAGTATCTACAAATCTTTCATATACTGTCGCGAATTATAATTTCGCGAAAACTTCTAACCAATTTCATAATATCATAAATCAACTCGCCTTTCTAAATTGTAAACACTCTTATGGTATCATAAATCATCTCTTAAATTTGTCTTCTTAAGATTTATTGCTCATAAATTAGCTTTCATTTTAACCTCTTCTTCGTAAACACTTCTAACTCTTCACATGAGAATTTTATCCTATTAAACAAAAAATTTCATTATTGTTGACTACTCTCTGTTAACCAATATCAATTCCTCCGATCTTCTTCTTTATTATAAATTTATTCTCTCTTCTTTTACTGCTCTGTTTATTAATACTACGTTTGCAAAAAATAAAGGGTTATTAATCTTCCTACTGTATTGCAATTATTCGAGTATCAACCAGAAAACCTTTCACGACAAGAAATTTATTGGTGTCACGAGCCGGGAACATGTCAAGCTACATTATCGCGAGCTTTCAACCGGCAAAGGAAAGGTTAGTCAGTCTTCTTAAAGAAGTAAATCAACTGGAGATCAAATCTCCAGATCCAAGTATGACAATAGAAGAAAAAGAAGATTTTTATATAATAAGAAAAAGAGTGTTAGAAGATAAACTTCGAAGAATCCAATTATGCGTAACTACGCTTGAATCTATCAACGATAAATGGTTCACATATACTCAACAAATCGTCACGATGAAAAGAAGAGAAGAAGAGGAAGAAAAATACAAAACAGTAACAGAAGGTGACCAAGGAATATTTCAATTATTACACGAAGGAAAGGAAGCAGTAATAACACTAACAATGCACAAGGATAAAGTCGACCAAAACTTAAAACAACTCTCAAAGGAGTTGACGAACAAACAAACAAAAGAAGAGGCAAAATTTACTCCTTCTTCAAATATTAATGTAAATATTCCTCATTTATCGCTCCCTACTTTCGATGGAAACCCTAGACAATGGCGACAATTTTGGAGCAGTTTTAACGCAGCAGTCCACACACAAGCTATTCCAGAAATACAAAAATTGAATTACTTGTACTCATGTCTTAAAGGAAAGGCTCTACAAGCAATATCTGGATATAATATAGCTCCAGAGAATTATGAAGTTATCAGAAGACTGCTCAATGAGAAATATGGCGATCACTCAATAGTAACAACATTACTATACAACGAACTCCAATCAATTAAACAAAATGAAAGAGAATGGATTGGAACAATTGAAAATATAAAACGAGTACTATGCCACTAGGAGAAAGCCTCGAACATTCAAATATTGAAATCTTGATCGAGAGCAAGTTACCATTATGGATATTAAATAAAATATATAAACATAAGAAGAAGGACATGCCTTGGTCAATTCTCAAACTAAGAAACTTTTTAGTCAATGTGAATGAACAGATTAGAAACTGTCAACATTTACTCACTCAACTCAATATTAAATCTACAACTACCAAACCGGAACAAAAACAACGATACAATCCTGGAGGAACTTCAGCACTGTCGACAATAAAAGATAATCAAAATACTTCGAAAACTACAACAATGAAAAAACGACCATGTGTATTCTGCAATCAAGATCATTGGGACAGCGATTGCGTGAACTACACAACTCTCAATGCTCGTCTTAATCGTCTCAAAGTATTGAAGAAATGTACTATTTGTCTTAGAGACAGTCATAAAGGACAGAACTGTAATGTCAAAAAACAATGTTTTTTATTGCAAAAGCTTACATAATAGGCTTTATGTAATAAAAGGAATTCACTTTCTTTAAACAATACAATGTTTCAAAGAAATGAAGAGCAAGAAAGAATTGGACCTTCGAAACGAAAGGATTGTTCAACTTCTCTCTACAACTCGACATTAACAACTCGATCCAAACAGACAAAGGAAACTTTACTTTTATGTAAGGAGATAAAGGTTTTTAATCCATCACAACCTCAACTACAACAAAATGCCCTTGCATTATTTGATATTGGATCACAACTCTCCTTCATCTCCAAAAAATTATCACGTCAATTAAAGTTAACCGAAACAGAAACTCAAATTATGAGAATAGCTCCATTTGGTATGAAGGAACCGAAATCATGTCCCACTGCTCGCATACAAGTAAATGTGCTAACTAACGAAAGCGAAATCGTACCACTACAAGCAAATATAATTGATTATCTAAAGAACGAACTGCAGATAGTGGAGACATCAAATGAATTTCAAATTCAAAATTTAACGAATTATTGGAAAAAACCCGACGTATTGATTGGAGCTGACTATTTTTTCAAATTATTAGTCTACGAGAAATCAAAGAATTGAAATCAGGGCATATGTTGGTTCAATCAAAAGTTGGTCCTATGATTGTTGGAAGTATTAAGAAACTTTGCAAGAACGAATTATATCCTAAAGAAGTAGTAAAGTAGTATTCAACAAACGTCAATATTAACTCGGAGATAGAAAATTTTTGGAAATTAGAGACGATTGGTATCCAAGAATCACCTCAAGATGATGATGATCAAGCTTTAAAGCATTTCAAACGGACCATCATCAAGCAGGGTGGAAGATATCAGGTTTGTTGGCCATGGAAAGACTCCAAACAAAAATTAAGCAATAATTATGGATTATGTCTGGGACGATTGAAGAATTTGATCAACCGCCTACAACATAATTCAAATCTCCATTCATATCATCAAATACTTATGGATCAACTACATTCAGGTATAATTGAAGAAGTACCTCCAAAGGATGAGGTAGGCGTTATTCATTACTTACCACATCATGAAGTATTAACTCCCAGTAAATCAACAACTAAATTAAGAATAGTATATGATGCCTCAGCACATCACAAAGGTTTTAAAAGCTTAAATGAAGTACTATATCGAGGTCCAGTAATGTTACCGGATTTAGTTGGAGTAATATTACGTTTTCGGATGATGAAAATAGTAATAACCGCTGATATCGAAAAGGCATTTTTACAACTAGAACTACAAAATGAGGAAAGAAATTGTACACGTTTTCTTTGGTTGGATGATATTGATAAAGAACTAACCAATGAAAATATAAAATGTTACCGATTTAAGAGAGTTCCTTTTGGAATAATATCCTCACCCTTCTTATTAGCAGCAACATTAAATTACCACCTAGAAAATCATGGTAGTGAATTGGCATGGGAGATAAGAAAGAACTTATACGTAGACAACGTTATTATATCAGCTAATGGAACAGAAGAGGCCTTATATAAATATGAAAGAACGAAAGAAATTTTTGGTGAAGCATCGATGAACATAAGAGAATTTCTTTCAAATGACGAAGAATTTAATGAAAGAATAGCTGAATGCGACCTAAGCCAAACAAACCAGGAAATTTTCTTGGTCTTAAATGGAACCATGAACGAGATATTATCCGTGTGACACTGAAACCATGGATAGGAAAAAGTTTAACAAAGAGGACTATCCTACAATTCATAGCCTCCCAATACGATCCATTGGGTCTTCTCGTTCCTATAATGATCAAACTTAAATTATTCATACAACACTTATGGAAAGAAAACATTCCATGGGATCAATCTTTAAACAAACAGGACGAACAACAGTGGATAAATCTCATCAAAGAATGGCCAACAAATATAATAGAGCTGCCAAGATTTATAATGGAAACTTCACAATTAACAGAATTCCATATATTTACTGACGCTTCGAAAGTTGCCTATTCTGCAGCTATTTATATTCTCAATCATGGATATCAAAACACATATTCGAATTCATTTTTGATTTATGCTAAATCTCGAATTGCTCCAATTAAAGGTATGTCAATTCCTAGACTTGAATTATTATCTGTACTAATTGGAGTAAGAGCAGCTCAGTTCGTATTGAAACAATTAAATCTTGAAAATAATCAAGTTACTTTGTGGACGGATTCAAAATGTGTTCTTTACTGGATACAGAATTATACAAAGCTGCTTCCCAGATTTATACAAAATCGCATCGAAGAAATAAGGAAATCTAACTTCGAATTAAATTACATACCAAGTGATCAAAATCCAGCAGATATAGCCACCAAAGGAGTATCACCACTTAAACTCCAAAATTGTAAACAATGGTGGAAAGGACCTCGATGGTTGGAACTCAAGAAATCTGAATGGCCAAAGTGCAAACTTCGCTATTCAGGAAACGATGAATTTGCAGAAGCAATTGCTTTGAATTTAACAAAGATGACTCAAACTTTTAAAAGGAATACAATTGAATTTATTGACGTATGTCGCTTCAGCAGTTGGACAAAACTAGTTCGAGTAACTGTTTGGACTTTTAGATTTATTAAACAAACCTGCAAAAAGAAATTAGTGTGGCTAGAACCATTATCCGTAAAAAAAAATATATGACTAAAGTTGATTACGATATAGCAGAGACTATGCTGATCAGACAGGCCCAATCACGATTGCTAACGGAGGACGAAAAGGAAAAATGGAATCTATATCTAGATGAAAGTGATAACTTATGGAAATTAAGGAGCCGACTGGAAAATTCAGAATTAATGGACGAAAGCAAATATCCTATATATTTACCGGATCATAATTATACTACTGATCTTATTATTTTACACAAGCATAATGAATTATATCACGCAGGTATTGCACATACGTTATCTGAATTAAGACGAAAATATTGGATACCGAAAGGAAGAGCTGCTGTAAAACGAATTATAAACCTATGCTGTTATTGCATTCGCTGGAAAGCTAAACCGTTTAAACTGCCAGCGATGCCAAGTTTACCAGAAACACGAGTAAAACGATCCAGGACCTTCGAACAAGTCGGCCTTGATTATATGGGTCCTCTTTCAGTCAAATCTAATACTGGTCTAGTCAAAAGATGGATAGCACTTTTTACGTGCTTCACTACCAGAGCAGTGCATCTTGAAATGGCGGAGAATTTATCTGCCGAGAATTTTTCGCATGTTTTAAGAAGATTTATCGCTCGACGTGGATATCCAAAATTAATATTAAGCGATAATGCAAGCCAATTTCAACTGGTATTCAAAATCATTATGGAAGAAAACGCTAACTTTTTGGCTACAAAGGGTATGATATGGAAAAATACTATACCAAGAGCATCATGGGGTGGTGGTGTATATGAAAGACTTATAGGACTCACAAAAAGAGCATTAAGAAGAGCAATAGGAAGAAAACTTCTAAAGGAAGGAGAATTAATAACATTAATAGTTGAAATAGAAGGAATCCTTAATACCCGTCCATTAACTTATGTAGGGTTTGACGACTACAGAATCATTCGTCCAATTGATTTTATATCACCTATGGCTTCATTAGATCTACCAATAAATTATGATAGTGACCAAGATGAATATACCCCTTATACAATAAAGACTAAAGATAAATTAGTCAAGTATTGGACTACCACTCTTAACACATTAGATGTCTTTTGGAAGTTGTGGAAAGAAGAATATCTTACAAGTCTTAGAGAACGCACACAGAGAGAATTAAAATCACCTAGAATAATAGAAAAAAGAGTACCACATGAAAATGAGATAGTATTACTAAATGAACCAGAAATACCTCGTGGTGTATGGAAATTGGCAAGGATAATAAAAATTAATCGAGGATGGGATGGAAAAATAAGGAGTGCAACAATACAATTACCGAATGGAAAACAAATCGATCGATCAATAAATATGCTTTATCCTATGGAAATAGATGCTACTGAAGATAAAGAAGAAAAAGTGGAAGATGAACCAGAAGAACCCATTGCTCGACGAACCAGAAGTGCTAAAAAATCACAAACTACAATCTACGCTAAGGACAAGTCTAATCTTTTGATAAAAACTTTATCATTAATAACGATGATGTCATTAATACCAAGACAGGTATTAGCTAACAATAGCTGTAATTGGATTACTGGAGTACCCTTTAATATTCCTGAAAAATGGAATTGTGAAGAAATTATTCACAAAAATGCTACATATCACAAAGTGGATGTGTACACACGCACCCATGTAAGAATACCAGCTATAAAATGTAGCAACATTACACGGACTGTATGCACGAAAGCTTTTCTCAGAATATCGCTATCGGTAGTGTCAGACCATACGTCTACTACCGCAACTTCTTCACAATTCTGCAGATATTTAAATATTCGAAAACAAATGAACGGAATTGGACTGATTCAATCTTCTCCTAATCAATGGATAACGAATAAGGAAATACAATACTCCTATGGATGGTTAGGAGTTAACTGTCAATCAACTTCAAACTTCATATTAACTCAAGGAGAAATTCTCATCTACGATGGAAGAGGGTTAGTCTCTAACCTTGAAGATATAAAAGACTGTTCGACACAAAAGGGTGAATGCATAACGAATACTAGCATTATCATATGGAATAGCAATGATACGACCAATCATTGTTTATATCGAAAGATCGGAAGATTCAAGGCTACAAAGTATAACAACCACTTCATCATCGATGAGATACAAGCATCGCTTATAATTGATAAAACCCCCCTGTATTAAACACCAAAAATTGTAGATTCACCTCTCCAATTTTAATGCAGGGCGATATAGTTATTGAACTAGACATTGAAGATGACTCGAACTCTATTACAAAATTCAAACGAAGAGTAACAAATAAACTATTGATGATGGAAAAGTCTCCAGATAGAAAATACGATCCTGAAAATGTAAAACTTCAATACCTTTCTGATTCACTAAGACAAGAATTCCTTCAACAACTCAAAGAAACACAGCAGAGAAGTTGCCAAAACAGAAATAACTTATTACTTTTGACCAATGGCTATCAATCAGCAATCCTACCCTTGCCACGAAACTAATACTTCAAAGAAACGATGTGATAGCTAAAAGAATTAACGGAAATTTGATGGTGGCTCCTTGCAAATCAGAACAATCAACAATTGAAAATATCGAATTCAAAGGAGATTTAATAAGTAAGTTTGGAATTGAGAGAATTAATGCAGAATTGGAAATCCTAACTCAAACTCAAAAAACAATTAATTCAATACCACATCAAATGAAGGATGAACTCTTTTGGCAAGAAATCTCTGAAGAAGGAGAAGAAATTATCAAACAAATGGAAAAGGAATTCAATGAAATTGTTCTACCGATAGAAGAAGAATTTGAAAACGTGATAACACATTGGAAATTGATTTTTATCTGTATAATTATAGTGACAATATTAACTATTTTAGTTATTATTAAGTGTAAATTTAAATTAGTTCAATCCCTCTTTTGTAATACTTCAAAACGAAATTCAAATCAAACTACCATCATTACTCTCCCTGTAGAAGCACCACACACTCAATTTCTAACTAAAGAAGAAATCCCACCTATTAAACTCCATACATTTAATTATATACCTCAAAATCACTCTCTCAAAATTACCTCTTAAAACAATTTCTCTTCCCCTTTGGGAGTGTCGCGAATTATAATTTCGCGAAAACTTCTAACTAATTTCATAGTATCATAAATCATCTCTCCTTTTTAAATTGTAAACAATCCTACGGTATTCACACATATGATTTTTATGTAAAATCTCAGTTCTGCGTGTGAAAAACCATGATACAGGAAGTGGTGGGAAATTTGTTTGTAAGTTATTCGACATTTTCACACAGTTTAGTATCGGCCTCATCTATTTGATATATATTGTATTTGAAGGAATATCACTAGTTGTCCAACTAATTCGGAAAGGTTGCTTTTTTCTTTGTTTTACAGTTTACATTTGCTCATGATGCTATGTTTTGGTGGTATAATGGGTGTTCTAATTCTGTGGAATAATCAAATAGTTTCGGGATATTTTTCCAAAAACTGATATTGGAATCACGCAAAATGTATTGTTGATCTGTTTAAGTATTTGAGTAATATATTAATAATAACATCGCGAATTTGCTTTTATTAATTTTTTTTTTTTTTTGCAGATATATTGTTTGTGATAATCTTTTGGCATGTTACGTCTCAGAAATGAAAAAATATATGATTAAAATTAATACTGAATTGGATCTGTTCTGGGAAACTAAAGTACGAGATGTAATAGAAGTTGTTTCTGAAAATATGATCTATTCGGATAAAATTTTTATGGCATATATATTGGAATATAATGAAAGGTTTATTTTTTAACATCAATGCTTATTAAAATTTCTAGCATTTTAGTCTGGAGAACAACTGATGCATTTTATCATTTTATTTTATTTTTGAAATCATTAATTTTAATATCTCTTTTTTCTTTATATTGAAAGATCTCGCTTACTTTTGAACTTTTATTGGAATCCCGTAAGGGAATAATGAATAAGTGTATAACCCTTGGAAATTGAAAAAGAAAAGTATATGTTCTATCTTTCTAATTTCAAAAATTGGAAATACTTATTTCTTATGTCTTCAAATTTCGATTGTGACAGTAGTGCTTACGAAAAGGAGGTTTTATGAAGAATCCGAATAATTTTCTCGTTTTATAATTACTGATTATTAATAATGCAATTTTGAAATGCGTATTTGTAGAATAACTTTACCTAAGTGATGTATATGGCGTCATTGCAGGATGATAAAAAGACAAATAAGTTGCCTGAATAAATATCGAATTTTTGCTCAGAATATTGGTCAGCTTGATCGAGATCAAGAGAAACTAAGAAGGGAATGCTTGCAATATTGGGAGATCCCGGATATTACCAAAAAAAAAAAACCTACGAAACAATGAATCATTGTTTGCAGGTATCACTCGTCTTGTCAGCCTTACTCTTTCACTTAATAGTCTATTGCTGTTCAAGAAAATACTTGAACATGTATATGAAAGTACATGAAAATCATTCCCATTAATAATATGAAGATTCTTAATTTTAGATTATCGATTTTAAAGAATTACAACAGAAACCACCGGCTTTCACGAAGAATGTTTTGTTATCTGGAGTAAGTCGAATGCGATATGCCGAGTTACGAATGTGCGCCATCACGAAAAAAGAGCTTTCAGTTCTGATCTCGACTGTGAATCGTTTTTTGTTTGATTTTTGATGCTGAAATGTTTTAGAGATTATGTGTTATCAAGAGCTTATGTCTTAAAGTGTGCAAAGTATTCGTAAGAAAATCGCATTAAAGTATGTTATAGTAAAAAGTTTTTGCATCTAAGATCTACTTAATTGTACATTACCGATATTTAAGGAATTGTAACAAAAACTGTTAGTTTCATGAAAAGTAATTAGTTATTCAAGACGTCGATCTTTTCTTCAACTGAATCCTCTATAATATCTCGGCGAATGTTCCGTTTTACCAATAGTTAACTGATACATACCCAATGAAGCAAAAGTTCAAGATTTTTTAATAATTATTTCTTTGCGTTTAGAAGGTTTATCTTCCCGTTGACATCATTATGATTCTCTTGGTGATTTGTATTGAATTTTGCATTAATAGATGTCATACAGTAAAAAAAAAAAAAAAACATTGAGTAGAAGAATCGAAAATTGTTTGAAACTGTTATGTTTATTCACCATATTCTCAGCAACGTTTTGAAAGAGTTCCCTTCAATGTCAGTGTCGTGAAACCTCAAACTTGGATAATTAAACCTTTATTAAATCCATGAAGCAAATAATAGCGCTTTATACATATCATACGGATGCCTCACCGATTAACAAACGCGTAAATTATATAAAATGCAATAATGTAAAAATGGTGAAATAATACAAAATTATAAAGTATTAGACGCATCCCAATACCACCCAAAACATAAAGCAAATGATGGTTATAGAAGGATTGGTTGGTTTATATATAAGACTGATTTAACAAATGGAAATTAGATGGAAGAATTTCTCATGGATGAACAAAGAAGATTGTTAACAAGATTAGTTTTAGTGTGTGAAACGAGGAAATAAATTAGTATGAGACATAGCTGAATTACAATGTAAAAATATTCGGAAATTGAATCATCATGTGTGAGAAGAATTTTGTAAATGTAAATTAGATTTAGGAATTAGATAAGAGGAACTTGTTAGTTTTGGTTATAATAATTTAAATATTTCGTCTTTCACGACAGTTAATGAATTAATCAAAATGTCTTCTAGTGATATTATTAAATTTGCAGAGAAATGGTATGAGTTAATGAATTAATCAATTACGTCTTCTAGTGATATTGTTATATCTGTAGATAATTGGAATGAGTTAATGAAGTAATTATTGTTTTATCTGTAGAGAAATGGTATGAGTTAATGTATTAATCAAAATGTCTTCTAATGATATTATTATATCGGTAGAGAAATAGTATGAGTTAATGAATTAACCAAAATGTCTTCTAGTGATATTGTTATATCGGTAGGGAAATGGTAGGAGTTAATGAATTAAAAATGTCTTCTAGAATCTGTGGAGAAATGGTATGAGTTAATAAATTGATCAATTACGTCTTCTAGTGATATTGTTAAATTTGCAGAGAAATGGTATGAGTTAATAAAACCGGTGATATTGTTATATCTGTAGAGAAATGGTATGAGTTAATGAATTAATCAAAATGTCTTCTAGTGATAATGTTATATCTGTAGAGAAATGGTATGAGATTATGAATTAACCAAAATGTCTTCAAGTGATATCGTTATATTGGTAGGGAAATGGTATGAGTTAATGAAGTAATCAAAATGTCTTCTAGTGATATTGTATTGGTAGAGAAATGGTATGAGTTAATGAAATGGTGATGTTTTGCGCTTCCTTTCGATAAATAATGACAACAGCTGAAAAGATGTGCAAAGCTATTAAATTTGTATATGAAACACCTGATAGAAAAATTGCACAAGTTTGTCTGAGTGGATGCTAAGCAATGTTTTTATGTGGGTAAATTTTATCTAGTAGAAAATATGGCTTGGTTATTTTTTGCTGATAGTATGGAGGTCAATACATAGCAAACGACATTTATTGTTGTTGTGGGAAAAGGATGTCTACGAATTAGAATGTCTGACCACTTTTTATTGTCCACATTGGAGAGAATAATTTTTCATAGTTAGATATCGGTAATAAATCGATTGATTTTTGGTGCATATTGCATTCTTATCCGAAATCAAAGTATTTCAAAAACTAAAGGAGCTTTCTATCATTAGAAGAACATTTTTTCTACATTTTTCTTAAAAAATTGTCTGGAGTTTATTTTTAGGTATTTATGTTTGATCAGCTACACTCTGATCGATTTCATGTTATCTTCGCAAAGCGGAAGAAGTTGCAGTGATTGAGGAGAGTGATGAAGTATTGCCATCCTTTTTCTATTGTCGTGGAATGCGAATTAGTTCACTTCTGATAAGTTGGATAATTTAATAATTAAATTTAATAATTAAATAATTTTTTAATAATTTTCTGATAAGTTGAATAACTGATAAGTTGGATAAAAAAAATAACTTCTGATAATTTTTTTTGTTCTTAAATTTGTGATTATAGGGTTAGCAAAGAATGACAAGATAATCTTGACTGTTTATTCATAATTTAGCGGTGTATAAATTAAAACCTAAATGAACGCACTCCCTCTATATAATTAGTCTATAAAGAAATGTGACTGTTAGAATTTATTTTCAAATAATTGTTGTTTGAGTTTTGAATGCTTCGGAATTATAGGTTCAAGTTAAACAAATCTTTAGTACTGCATTGATTTTATCCCTTGCTACTGTTTTTAGACCCATGAATTATGTGCTGGTCCAGAAATCATGGAAAACTGTATGCATTCAATTCTACATCTCAAGGATCATCGGTTTTTCCCGAATAGTTCAAGAAAGCGCAATGTTTTGAAATTTCTGGAAGGCAGTTATTGCAAAGAAACAGTATCTTTTTTAGTTTATTCCAAGAATATGTTGATGAGAAAGACTGAGGAGGAAAGCTGTAGTAGATAAAGTCAGTAGTTGTGCGGGTTAGGACTTTTAAAATTTTTGAGATGTATTTAATGATGATCATATACTGTTATAGTGATATTTCTTCTGTGGAAAATTTGTGAGTGATTATTTGAAATGTTTAAGTTCATCGAATAGTAGTGATGCATCGATGAATGATTGCTATCAGTGGTCCTAGGAATGGACACACAACTTCATCGTCGGTGAAGATTATGGAGCCACGAGCAGTGCTGAAAGCAGAAGAACATTCAGAAGGACTCACACTGCGATCTGTGCATGCTATCGCTCAGCAACAGAAAGACAGTGTTTCTCATAAGCATTCACTGCAACTTATTTTCTTCATTTTTTTTTTTAAAGGAATACATCTTCTAAAGTATGATGGTATTAGAAGTTGTAACATAGAGTCTTTTTCTGTTGTTTAAAAATAGTGAAAGTCCATTTTTTTTTACTTTTCTTTTGGAATGTTTGCAATAAAATTTAGTTAGATCTGCATTCTCGTGAAAACAATTTTTTTTCATGTAGTGATAATATTTTTTAAACAACAATAATGATAATATTTTTTAAGGATAATAGTTGCCACCAGAGAGCTTGAATTGCTTTTTTTTTTTTTTTTTTTTTTTGAAAATTCTTGGTTTATCTTTTGTATGTCCAGCTATATTTCATGTAAGGTTTTCTTTATGGATAGCTGTAAATGGTATATAATGAATTTTGGATAATAAAACTAACCGATTTTCATTGGAATACTTCTCAGTATTCCGCTGAGAATAATTCGACTCTTTTCCCATATTTTCTGTTGTTCAATTGCTGGGCTTACAATTTTTTGTTTCCGACTTGCCATTTTGATTTGAAACTCATTTGCGTTGTTTATTACTTCCTTCCGTTATATTAATTTGCTTAATTTCTCATTGTCATACCTTATAAAAATTTCTTGTTAATAATTGATGTCATTTAGTTTCTAAGGTTGAATCAGGATGGCTGACTAAATCCTTTATTGGATAATACAATGCAGGAAAGAGTTAATATCCTTGCATGTGAGTTAATAATAATTTAAACGACTGTTTTCTAAACTTTAGCTTTTGCAGATATTTGTAAACCTTATTTTTGTTATCACAACTTATTAGTACAACATGGAGTTTTATTTGTGTATTTTAACTCATTTCACATTTGTTTCATGTTCTTTATGGAAAATTCATGTATTTCTTTTCATTTTACCATGCCTCCCTTGACATTAAAACATTTTATAAGGCATTATACTACCGCTACTAATGTAAAAACTCGTCCCCAAACTTTGCCACGATTGCAACCGATTTCCCCAGTCCTAATTGATGTGTCCAATTACAATAGTTTCTTTGCAGCCATTGTCGAAAGGAATTATGGGAAACGTGACACTACAATGCTCGAGTGCAGTTGAGACAATTCATGCCTGCTCACTTAATTCCATTATCGATGAATAATATCGACCATACAACAAGAACGAACTTTATTTCATATTTTATTAGCAAAAAGAAAAGAACGATCCCATCAAACATTTCTCGAAATTGGATTAATTTGGATTATATTGAAAGCTATTTTAAAATGCGGCTGGGCAACTAAGGCAAAATCAACTAGGAAACTGGCGAAAGCTCTGGAACATTCCAGAGACTTTTCGGATTTAAGAATACGAGGAGTGGTGAGAAAGAGATCACCGTGAATCTGCATATACTGCATAATTGCAATAATAAAATAATCATGTAATGAAGAAAAAAACAAACTCGAAAACACAAAAAAGCACTGCAAGCAAAAAATGCTTTAAAATCAAATGACAGCAACTGTATGCTAGAGAATTTGCAGCTGGAAAATACATTATTGTTTCTTAAAATTAATCAGAAAAGAATTTGCTGTAAGTGGAATGAATATTACATCAAAAATGCAATAGGATTAATTTTTTTTCACAATTTCCTTGAACTATGAAACACACTGTCTTTGGAATACTATAAATAGCAATTGTAAAACAAACAAAACAATCGAAAAACACACATACAAATGGAACTCTAATACGTCTTAATTTGGAAAGAATGACTTTGTTCTGATGGTAACCAGTGCGATAAATTTACGAAAAAGAGAAAAAACAACCAATAAAACTTATTGCATAACAACTAGTTAAAACAGCAAAAAAAAAAAAAA